TTCAGGAGGGAAAACGCATGCTCTATTGGGTTATGGTCTGGTGACTGACTTGGCCAGTCCAAGACCTTCCACTTTTTCCCCCTGATGAAGTCCTTTGTTGTGTTGGCGGTGTGTTTTGGGTCATTGTCGTGTTGCATGATGAAGCTTCTCCCGATTAGTTTGGATGCATTTTTCTGTAAATTGCCAGACAGAATGGTTTTGTAGACTTCAGAATTCATTCTGCTGCTACCATCATGAGTTACATCATCAATAAAGACAAGTGAGCCCATTCCAGAAGCAGCCATGCAAGCTCAAGCCATGACATTACCTCCACCATGTTTCACCGATGAGCTTGTATGTTTTGGATCATAAGCAGATCCTTTCTTTCTCCATACTTTGGCCTTTCCATCACTTTGGTAGAGGTTAATCTTGGTTTCATCAGTCCATAAAACTTTGTTCCAAACTGTTTGTGGCTGATCTCTGTACTTCTTTGCAAAATCCAATCTGGTTCAATCTTTTTGCTGATGAGTGGTTTGCGAATTGTGGTATGGCCTCTTCTCTCTAAGTCTTCTTCGACCAGTGGATTGTGATACCGTCAGCCCTGCCCTGTGGAGGTTGGCAGTGATGACAGTGACTGTCGTCTTTGGTTGTTTCTTCACAGCTCGCACAATGTTTCTGTCAGCAACTGCTGTTGTTACCCGTGGCCGACCTGTTCGATGTCTGTTGCTCAGTACACCAGTAGTTTCTTTCTGTTTGTGCAATAGCTCTGATCAATTTTCCCTCTTCTCTCAGCTTCAAAAGCCATAGGTTCGCGACCTCTGGATTATATGACTAGATCAGAAATGGCATATTTCAATGTTTTAGTCTAATTATCATAACTTAATAAATAAATAAATAAATAATTTAGTCTAATAATCGTTTTATAACTGCAGGTGCACCACGCTGGATGTTAAGCCTCTATCATCCAAATGCCAAAAATTACATCTCAGAAGGAGTACATTTTATTGCTCAGGATATGAAGCCCATCTGTGGTGTGGACGGCAAAGGTTTTAAAAACTTGTTAAAAGTTTTGTAACCTGAATATACAGCGCTAGCACACCGGACAATAATGCATGCGCTATTGCGCACAGTATAAGGGACTAAAAGAGAAAGTTTTAAAATTATTATGACAAAGATTGTAGTTGGAGATTTGCTGTCATAAAAAAGTGACGCACAGTTAGTTGGAGAAGAAAGACGGTAAAAGGAGTTCATAAAAATAATTGTTCAAGGTATTAGCAACCCTCAGAAGAGGCACAAGGTTTATATTTTTAACATCATTGATATGTTAACTGTATTAAAGTTGATCTTTAATTAAGTTCCAACAGTTTACATAAACTATTGTGCTATGATGTGTAGAAATGTAACTGATGTAACTAAGAATGTTGTGTCTTTATATGGGATATATTACAAATATGATGCCCATTAAAACCGTGACCGGACGCAGATTTGTGAGTTAGGCAACAAACTTAATCAAGGATATGAGGTGCCATCACAGAATTTTTTTTTCTTTTCTGAGAGAGTAGTAAAGGGAGCTTTTTTTAAATTTATATTGTTTTTTCTCCTATTCCAGTTGTTTCATACTTGAGAGTCCTATTGGAGTGGGCAATTTTGCCTTAATTGTACACATTTAATTTATTTAAGCTAATTTCTGCCGGAGAATCTTTTATTTCAAGAATTTATTTTTGTTTTTTATTTATTTTTATTTCTTTGTTTTGTTTTTGTTGAGAGTGGGGAAATTAAACTTTAAAAAAACTTTAAATTAAAACTTTAAAAATTAAACTTTAATTTTTCATTTTTTAACAGATATGATAACGTGTAAATAAAGGTTTTGTGGCTTTTGTTAAAAGAAAAACTGGCACATTTCTTCACATCTATTTACCTAAAAGCAGAGAATCTATTTAAGCTGAAAAAAATCAGCATAATTTTATTATTTTATTATAAGTCATATCATCATTGCAATATGGAAGAGTGTCACTGCACATTGTGTTTTCTAGACAGGCAAACAAACAAACAAAAAACTAGCTTAAGAGATATTAACGGTTTACTTCTGTTGAAAAATAATGTATTGGAATAAACATGTTAGTATAGGTTCCCAGAGGATCCACGTATGTGGCGCTTGCTAGGGGCAGCCTGTTAACAGCACATCTGCTGCTAACACAACAATTACCCAAATATGGGATCAATATAGTACAAATTTATTTATTTTATTATTTTTGAAGTCATTTACAAGTGTTATTTAATTGAAAAACAACCAGGTGCTGAGTGAACTCACCGTGATGCCTGTGAATTCTCTCCATGTCCACACAAAGACAGGTGACAGGCCTGACACAATCAGGACACTAGTGAAGCGTCTCTTGATCACAGTCGGGTGATCCCTAAATATAGACAAGAATCACAGGTTTGTCACCACCAGAGGAAATAGGTGATCTAGCAGCAACTTACACATGTTAATCGTAATACATTTGTCATGAAAATTACATTTCCAGAAAAGTTAGTTGATTAATGTGCCACCAAAGTGTAGCAATGGGAGTACTGATTCTGTGGTATCAATATATAGATACATACACAAGTATCGTTTAAAGATCAATTACAGTCAAAGTATCGATACTTATTAACAAATTAGAAAAAAAAGCAAGTAGAATTATTGTCACTGATGCACAGCAGACCTCTGCACACAATGAAATTCGCCATCTTCCTTTATACCATTACCTAGGTCAACAGGGGGCAGCTCTAGCTGAGCCCCCAGAGAGCATTGTGTGTGGATGGTGCCATGCTCAGTGCTGGTGACTGGTGGATTTGAACCTTACGTCTTTGACCTACATGTATACATATATTGGTTGAGCATGCTAAAATAACATTTTTTTTATATTAATCCTTCAAATAATGTATTTTTCCTTTTAAACATTACTCTATTACTTGATATAAGAAATGTATAAAGGAAGATGCTATCAACCAGAAATGGATGTAGTGGCACTAAGGTTGAGAAGAGCACTTTGCTGTTTAGTCAAGCTGTTAACATGAAATTTTATAATTATTACTATTATAATTACATTTTAATAGTGCTTTAAAGCAGTGTTTTGATTATTTTTGTTTGTGCGAATAATGTATCTAATTCTGCATTATGTCGTAGCCTTATTTTTCCGTTACGTATAATTGCATTATGACCACGTTGAGAATAAAGTCATACGAGATTAAGGCTATACATTTATAAGAATAAAGTCGTAACGTTAATATAAATGTGTCATCCCACGCGTCGTATGATGTCCAAAGGTCTAAGGGAAGCCTCGTTTGAACCACTTAAAAATCGAAACGTCGATCGAATATATACTGTTTAACTTGAATAACGGAACTTTGTGATTCTGAACAATCACAAATTTACTCCTGGTCCGTGTGGGTTTTTTTCTTTTCTTTCTCCGGTATTCTAAAGTATCACTTAACAAAATGCTCCACGTTTCTTATTCTAATGCACTTATGATTAACGCTGTGCTTTTCTCTCGTGTCCCTCACAACAAGCGATATAAATTATACATTTAGTGGCGTAAATGTATTACTTTCTTCTCATAAATGTACAACTTTAACCTTGTCGATTTATGTCTGCGTTACGTTTTATTCCTTATAAAATTAATGACTTTATTCAAGTAATCGTTTTTTGTTGTTGTTCTCAATGTGGCCCAAATACTGTAATAGTCGTAATTATGCCTACAATTATACGTAGTGTTATAATTGTCTACCGCCCAAAACCCCACAAATTTTCTTTGACCCATTAAAATTAATGAGGGTATCAGGTTAATATTGAGTAATTTGTCTTCAAAGATGATTTTAAAATTTCCAATTTATTCTTTTAATGTTACTAAACTAGATAGACATTGGAGAAATGTGCAATAGTTTATCAGTTATCTATGTGGAAAAATTACCACAGGTGGTGCACACCTGCTGCACTTGCAGCAGTTTAACAAAGAATACATGTGAAGAAGGACGTACACATCCTTATGCAAGATCAACTCGAGTGCAGAAAAACTAAAGTACATAGAAGCATTGATATCTTTGCATTATCACGTCGATGTTAAAACTGCACAATAAATAAAAACATACATAAATAAATTACAGCTCACCTGGGTAGGTCACTCCTCCACACGTACAAACTGCCCACATAGGAGCAGGCGAGAAGCAGACAGGACAGCAATGACGGCCAGCACAGACTCTCGGGAGCTGTAAAGCCGCCATTACTGTGCCTCAACTCCTCTGTCAGAAGATTTGTTGATAAATCCGCCGCCATGTCGACTGTCGGCTGAGTCTAGAGCAAACTCCTGAGCACAGGCGCGGCCGCTGGACCATCTACTCCTAATAATCAGCCGTTACCATCAGCTGAGAACTTGTTAAAAGCTGTCGAAACAGAGGCTAATAATGCTAACTTGAGGTGCAAGCTTTTCCGGCGCTAGTATTCTGCGTCATCACAGGGATTCTTCTTTTGCTTGGATTTCTTTTTCTGGCGACTCGCGCCATCCTGTGGGAAAAAAATAAATTTAAACGTTCATGTAAAAATGTTTCCTCATTTCTCCATGTTTTGTACCGTAATTATGCTATCATTTCTTGAAATACTAAGCAGGAATTCGCTTCGCACATATTTAGCTCTTTGAATAATCTACACCCATATATTAATTCATTTTTAGGAGATTTGAACATTATGTAGGTGTTGTATAAAAAATAAAATACCGATTTTAATGTATTTGGTCCTGCTTTAAACTCTAAACAAACCGCTACGAACAATGATTTTATTGATTTTAATGTATTTGGTCCTGCTATAAACTCTAAACAAACCGCTACGAACAATACAACCTATAGTGGACATGCAACCATTACACACACACATACTTGTATATGCATACATAATTACATGTACAATTACAGTAATACATGTATATGTGATATGTATGTAATAGAAATATACATATATACATGTAATATTGTTGTGTGTGTGTGTGTTTGTGTAACAGCAGTTATGTAGTTATAATTCCACAAAATTGTTTTATTTGTTCTACCTGATGGAAGTGGGTTGTTCCTCCCTGGGCGGAAACTTGACGTACATATTTTTGATATAAATAGTCAGTCACACCCAACCTCTCCCTTAGTGATGGGAAGACCGACTCTTTTTATTGATTCGAATCATTGATTCTCGAACAGTAAAATGAACGAGTCGTGAACGAATCTTGAACTAATCATTTCATTCGTTTTACAGCAGGTAGCGCTTTAGCCCTATTGTGGGCGTTGTAAAGAAGGCTGCGGTTCTCCGACACTAAATACTGAAGGCAACATGGTTTGCTTCCGCTGACAAAGTCTACAAAGTACACAAAATGCCATAAGCAATTAAAACCATGTGATAACCTAAGGAAGAAAAACACACCACAATGTGAAGATGAATGAGAGCAAAAGAGACCCGAGCTCTCTGTCACGTGACAAATGAAACGAATCTGCGAGAATGAAGCGAAAGATTCGTTCACGGAGAGTGATTCGTTCATAGTGATTAGTTCACAGCAAAAGATTAGTTCACGGTGAAAGATTAGTTCACAGTGAAAGTTTAGTTCACAGAGAGTGATTCGTTTGTAATGAAATATTAGTTTCCAGAGTAATTAGTTCGTAGTGAAAGATTAGTTTACAGTGAAAGATTAGTTCGTAGAGTGATTTGTTCGCAGTGAGTGATTTGTTTGCGATTCGTGAGTTCAATATGAACAAATATTTTATATGACTCGGGAGTCGTGAATCTTTCATATGACTCGCGAGTCAGTTCATTTTGAACGAATCACTCGCGAACGACACATCACTACTCTCCCTCTTTCTTTGGACTTTGTGGGAGAGGTTAGTGTTTTTTCGTTGCTCCTTGTTTTCAACATTTTAATTAATTCTGTACAATATATTTATTTTATTTGCATTTTGTAGGGGCTCGGGTGGTGTCCAGGAGGAAAATTTATTTTGTTCTATGCGAATTCCGTCAGGTATGTTTCCATGTTGTACACTGTTTGCGCCCTCTTTCTTCGGACTTTGTGGGAGAGGGGCTCGGGTGGTGTCCAGGAGGAAAATTTATTTTGTTCTATGTGAATTCTGTCAGATCAATAAAGCGTTGGTGACAGCAGCACGACGGCTGTCATTAAACACAACGCAGAGGCTACACCGTTTACATATATATCTTCCATATGTGCTATGTATATAGAAGATATATACGATATACAGTATGTATACACACACTGTGAATGAACCTTGTCAAGGTTCAGAGTTCTTCTTCTGCCTTCTCACAAACATGTAGTGTAATTAAGTATATACATTTAAAAGAAAATCTGTTTATAATACCAGTTGCGAATATTTATTGTTCAAACCATGAAAGTCAAAATCTGGCTACTTCTTTTAGAAGTAATATGTCTTCATTTTTATCCTGTGAATGGACTGTGTCACTGTTTCTGACGAGTACATCATAAAACAGGCAACTCCTGTTAAACTTAAAAGGGACGATTGTTTGTTTGGTTTTTTTTAGTTCATTTATCAGTCACAACTACAGTGGTATATAAAAGTTTGGGCACCCCTGATCATTTTCAAGATTTTCCTTTATGGATCATTGGTTGTTCGGAACAGGAATTTCAATTAAATATATCATATAGCAAACAAACACAGTGATATTTAAGAAGTGAAATGAAGTTTATAGGATTTACAGAAAGTGTGCAATAATTACTTAAACAAAAGTAGGCAGGTGCATACATTTGGGCACCCCAACAGAAAAATTACATCAATATTTAGTAGATCCTCTTTTTGCAGAAATAACAGCCTCTAAAGGCTTCCTATAGCTTCCAATGAGGGTCTGGATTCTGGTTGAAGGTATTTTT